ATTTTTTCTCTTCCAACTCTTCCAACACTGCAGCTTAATAATTGGAGTTGGCACGTGTCAACTGGGAGTAGGAGCATTGAATTGCCTTGAATACACTGATGCTTTGAGTAGATGTATTCCCTTATCCGCCACACCTGACAAAGTGTCCTACCTCAGCCATTTTTCATCTCACATCCCCTTCCATCAAGTATTTCGACTTCTCCACCTCGTCAACGCTTGTTGTCATTGCGTCCCTCACGGGGGTGTACATGCCCTACCATTAACACAGCACAAGGGTAAAATCCAGACGGAGTGACCCAACGATGCGACAGCCAATGCATTCTGCTTTTTGGAAACCGCCTTGGCCAAATGCACAGCATAAACTCACGTCTCTCCACTGTCGCATCAGCAAAACTACGTTTTGTGAAGGATTCCTTGCATGAGGCTGTGGACGTAGCTGCACAACAAATCGTAAGTGGCAAACGTGGACCGCTGGCTTTATGTTCTCAACCCCTACAGCCAGGAGAAACACGCTACATTGGGTTGAGAGAAGTGCTGTTGGTAGTTTACCACACAGTCTAGCTCTGCATACACCGCATTACGGGTAGTATTCTGAGCTCTGTGCAGAACACAAGCCGCTGACATGCACGTTGAATAACGCATCACATAACCAAATAGATAAGCGAGACCGGACAGGCAACCCTGATCTGCATCAAGACTTCACCACTGACACACCCCATGTTGAGGAAAGCCACGACACCCCAACATTGCATACACTGTAAATTAACGCAGAATCACTCCAGTTCAAGTGCTCCTCATGTCATTTGCAGGCAATCCTTCAAGTCCAGTCTTCTCAACTCCAGCAGAAGAAACTACAACAGCCCTCATTCTATGCTTCGTCAGTTTGTCGCCTCCCAAGGGGACACAAGTAGTTGCCACTTTCCCGCTGGCACATCCCACTCCTTCCGTCGTAATGCCTCCCACCATTGCCATTCATTGCCGTATCTCAGCATTTGCACCACCTCAAAAGTCATCTCCAATTGAGTCATCTGATGCAGTGAGCGAAAGATATGAGGCACGGTTCCAATTCCTGCATCTCCCTGCAGCGCGTGACTACATTCCATCTACTCATAACAATTCCCTTGTTCAACTAGCACTAGGATTTGTAATAAATTCACGCAGAATTCGTAGACTACCTTCCCCGTTTGAATGAGCTCACTCAATGGCAGTTCTTTGACCTCGCGTACCCTGTGGCTCCCGAGATACATTGTGTGTGCGTCACAGCACACTTCAGCGCAACACATTCAAATTCAGTTGATGCAGAATTTGGTTTTTCGCCTCGTGACTGAGCACATTAAAGCTCCTTCACTAATGCCCATTCATCTCTCACTGCGCAACCCGTACACCTTAGCACACACTTCACCTAATGACAATTAACCCAATGCGTCAAATTCGGATTCAAAGTACTGAAATAGTGAGCAGAGGGAAGGAGGAGCAGGTGCCAAACGGAAAAGCACATCGGCTTCTAGGGTGAGCCTTGTGAGCGACTTTGGTTCTGTCACCGAATTTTACGTCGTACGAAATCGGAAAACCAGGCATCCAACAAATGTGGCACTTGATCTTCCTTCTCCTGTGCATTCAATCCCGCCTCCTTTGCCCATGATCCAGTGACATGCATTTGCCATGCAGCAGTCAGGTTTGAGGATGAATTTTCACACACCTACAAAGCAGATGCCAAAGAGTTAGTTTGCATTACCACGGTCACCGAGGCAAGGTGAGATTCAATAAGGAAATGAGTTAGGTTGATGGGCGCTTGATGTGATGTTAGGAATATCAGTTCGACCAACTTCTTCTCAGTTGACCACCGAGATATTAGTGTTAATGAAGGAAGGCAGGGAGAAAGGAAAGGGGAAAGGAATGGTGCTTCATTTTATTACAGACTTTTGGTAGCAGAATCGTTTAAAGTCCTCATCCTGGTCAAGATTCCTCATTCTCAAAACCACCCACTGCAAGCACTTCCAGTGTTTACATCATTTATTGGACTCCCTTCCTTGCATATCGTTTGGAAATTTGATAGGGTAGGAAAAAACAGTTACCTGGTTACGCAAAAAAGAATTTATTGCAACAAGTGTGTTAAACGCACATGCAGTGGAGAGAGGGTCAGTGAACGCAAATTTTCCTACATTACGGGTTTAAAGGTCAATGCTGCTTACACCTATTGAAAAATGAATGCGACATGGAGGAAGGAACTACTGGTTGGAATCATTTATAATATGTAGAACTGTAATAAAGAGTCACAGAGAAGAGGTTCACAGAGGGAAGCTGTTTCAAGCCACACTAATTGTAGACATTGGCCGTGCTTGTGGGTGTTACTGCTGTTCTATCCCAGGTAGTATTACCCTCAAATTCGCAACTTGCGCGACTCTCGTGGAGTAGTTATTACCAGCAGTAGTGATAAGCATCTGTGTCATTTCAACTATGAACTTGATCATTTGCTGTGGGACTGGCTGCAGTAACTCTCACCAGGGGTACTACACGGTTGATGTAAACATTTAAAACTGCAATCATATTTTCGCCCAAATTATGGGAAGCAGGTGGAAGAAACCGAAGAAGGTCACATCTAGTTAGGCGGCAACATGAGCTGGCATCACTTCCGAATGTTTGTCGATGCAACAAAGCGGGTGAATCTCACAATGGGTTAAGAATAACTGGTCATTGTAAGGGAGAATCAAACAGCGCAGTAGTATGTGTTGAATACTACGTCAACCAGGGACAATGAATTTACAATGGAAAGGTATTAGACATAAGTGACACAAGCACACACACAGACATGCATATGGAAATATGTGTGCGCATAAATTGATGAGGCTCCTCTTGGGTCGGGTTTTGAGTGCTGTGATTTGTATAAGGCCGTGGAGACCATGACAAAGGATAATGCAAGGACCTTGCATGGCCTCGAGAGTGGTAAATTCGCTTTGCTACTCCTCCCCTTCAAAAGGCCTCCGAACAGATCTCCACACCATCTCACACACTGATTTCGCATAATGTGGCTGCAACTGTACACCCATAGATGCCTTCTAAGTCAGTTCACTGTGGGCAGACAGGTGGGTGCTCATTGCCTTTCTCACAACGTGATGGAGGGCGGCTGCAAAATCGAATTAATCACAACAGACAACGCCGAATACAAACTGGCAAAACTCCTCCTCCATTTCTTTCCCTCCACCATCTTTGCCTATCCAAGATCGCACGATATCATCTTCTGGCAGAGCTTTAACTCCACTTTCAGGCTGTTAATTATGACTACTGCCACTTACATGTGATGAAATCTTGCTGCAAACATTGCAAGACACTAAGGAGCCAGTGCAAGTGCCTGTGTAGCTCATGTTGCCTTTCACCTATATGTGTCCCCCTTCGGTTTTTTCCGCCTGCTTTCCATAAATTGGGCAAAAATATGTTTGGGCTAAACGAAAAGCTATTGTCCCATTTAATATTTGTATGTTTGAGTGCTTTAATTAACCGTTTAGTGACCCCGATGAAAGTCACTACAGCCAGCTCTACAGCAACAGATCAGGTTCATTGTCCGAATGGTACTGGTGCTTATCACTATTGCTGGTAACAACTACATTATGCAGCTGGTGGCAATGGAATAGAGAAAGGTGAAGAAGAAGGAAGGACAAACGGCTGGAGGACGAACCACTGCTAAAGCAGTGTGCGTGTTGGTCTCACACAATAATTGTTGCTTACCAGGTCTGGAAATGTCACTAACGTGCTTTGCAATTGACCCGTATACATTAGGGTCGGGAGGTACGTAAGATGTGGGAAGTCAGGGGCACAAGGCACTAATCTTGCTTCATGCATTAACATGTCTCCACAAAACTCCTACACCCTCCCTGTGCTAATCAATTCATCACTTTATCAATTGGATATACACCTGTTACACTAGGTCAATCGCCAAGTGTGGTTTTACACTCTCGGATAAATTCATTCACCCATTCATCAGTTGCATGCATGCATGCATGCATGCATGCATGTTGGATCTACCAGTTCATCCTCCACTATTTTCTCCGCATCACAGACCATTTCCCGAATCATTTCAAACCAGTGCATTCATTCATCCGATGCTCGGCTGCGACAGCTGTGACTAGAGCATATCCTCATGGGTGCCGACTCCGAGAATGCATGGGACGAATGCTCCCACTAATGATTTCCTCAGGATAACTTTCTACCACCTCTGCGAGGACCATCTGAGTAAGAGAGAGTAGGGAGTCTCAGGTGACAAAAAGAACACAGTCAATAGTATTGTGGAATTAGCTTATGAGAATTGTATTAATTCGGGAGTTACCATACACCAAGTTAATTCACGACACATAGGAAAGGAAGTTGATTAAGCCAGGAATGAGAAGCAACCTGTTTTGCAGAAGATGAACTAACGCATAGCAAGTGTGGAAGCATAGCATCGGTTGGAGGTCAGTTGCGATTCCGAAGGAGGCTATGGTGCGTAACATGAGCAAATGCAGGAAGTAAGCCATGTTTCCCATTCCCATGGACCACTACGTGCTCTGTTGTACAGTGGTGTGTTGTGCTTCAGGTCTTCACTGGCTACACACAGGCATCACCGCCCTTTATTTCACGTGGTCAGTCTCGCTCACAACCAACACTGTCCATTACAACATTGTACTCCATGCACAAACTACTACTGCAGTCGTCTGGCATCGTGATTACGGTGTCTAAACGAAGCAGCGGAGCATGAGAATGTCTTGGTGGGCAAACTTAATGGGCACCAATTGTGAAGTCGTCCTGCGAGATGGGACATTCATTCACAGTGGTCACTGCTACATTTCAACGTACCTGTATTTTCCTTCGGCATTCAAGGCTGAATTATGAATGTTTGGAATGGGCTTGTAGCAAAGTCCCCTTCAATGAATTTCTTGTGATGTAGCTGCTAAAAGAGACATTACCATATGGGTCTGCCTGAAATATTGCCCCAATTTCGCTGTTCGGCTTAACATTTACCTGTTGTGGCAAAGACCTGGGGCTAAGTCCTGTCTGCTCGTTGATTTGAGCGAGGTCGACTGAATCGACCCCCTTAGATCATTTTCATCATATCAAATTGAGTTGGTCCAAAGCCTTAAACGTCAGCTATTCCTGAGAAGAAACTCTTTCATTATAGTGTGAGGAAAACAAATTATTTAGATCCGATCAATGCCACACTTTCAAATGACTACTGAACTTATTTTGCAGCAACTCGGTATTTCGCCAAAGCAAGGGCATATAGTGATGTTCAGTTTACTTTGCATTAAATCTCATTCTCTGTACCCTATTTTCAAGTAATAATGCAAAGGATGTGTACTTCTAACCCACGATGACTCCACCGACCTAAAATCAAGCACCTGACAGCGCTACTTAAACCGCATACGCTTGAGGTCAACTGTCATGGATGGCTCACTGTTTTCTGTAAAAAAGAGGGAAAAGTGGGAAAGTTGGTCTTTTAAGGCGGATTACTAATCGCGGCTTTCTTTTAAAACATCGTAGAGGAATTTGTTCTACTGATGGAAAAATGCATAAAATTATGGTTTTAAAAATGATTTATGGTGTAAGCGCATATCTTGGTTATGTGACTTACAAACTCGCCTGCTCAGGAGGAATTTTACAGTTACCGAAGATGCTCCCTTGGCCTAAGGCAGCATCGCACTATCTACAACACGTCGCCAAAAATGAACAACTACCGTCTAATTCTTTGATTGGTAATGCGTGCATCTCTGTTAGTCCTAATGACAAACTGCGTTAATCGAACACCTTCATGGAATAGGTGTGAAATAGATGTGAAGACAGTATTTTTCGATGTCAGAGACTGTTATTAGTTGCCAACTGAGGATAAAAAAAGACATTTCGCATCGCTAGGTTGAAAGTGCTACTGATGCACGAGAACATTACGATGAACTGATCTTTTATTGTTTGCGTGCTTACGTGCGTGTGCAAGTCGTTCGGCACCGCAAATCAGTCAACTCAAACAAATATCCAAAGCAAGGATCCTGATTACCTGACACTTCTCCGATCCATTTTATTGTCACTCACGTAAAACTGGTACAAATCCTAATACAATTTATCGCAGTATAATGGTGTATATCAGGGGTACAAATGGCATGTGAGCTTATTTGATTGTCCTGTTGACAGACCATCGGTTCGTACTCCAAATGTGTCAGTAAATGCATG